ACATGCACACGCACATACATACACATCCAGTTATACTGTATGTAATGGGTCCAATTGCTCTAGTTAAAAAAGTGCTAAAGAAAAAAAATCTATCAAGCTTCCACTGAGAAGCAGTAATCAAAATCTCAGTTCTGATTTGTTTTATGGGAATGGAACTACACCTGTGTTTTGTGCTTCACTGATATTGATTTAATGTGAGGCTATATCAAATCCAGTCAAATTTTATTTGTATGGCACCAAATCACAAAAAAGTAATCTCAGGACACTTTATAAAGTAAGGTCTAGACTTTACTATTATTATTACACTAAACAAAATTAAATAAACGCAACACTTTTGTGTTTGCCCCCATTTTTCATGAGCTGAACTCAAAGATCTACAACTTGTTCAATATACACAAAAGGCCTATTTCTCTCAAATATTGTTCACAAATCTGTTTAAATCTGTGTTAGTGAGCACTTCTCCTTTGCCGAGATAATCCATCCACCTCAGGATCTCGTCACAGTATCTCTGTGCATTCAAAATGCCATCAATAAGATGCACCTGTGTTCGTTGTCCATAACATACGCCTGCCCATACCATAACCCCACTGCCACCATGGGCCACTCGATCCACAGCGTTGACATCAGGAAACGATGACATCCACGCTGTCTGTCATCTGCCCTGTATAGTGAAAACCAGGATTCATCCATGAAGAGAACATTTCTCCAAAGTGCCAGTCACCATCAAATGTGAGCATTTGCCCACTCAAGTTGGTTACGATGACGAACTGCAGTCAGGTCGAGACCCTGATGAGGACGACGAGCATGCAGATTAGCTTCCCTGAGACAGTTTCTGACAGTCTGTGCAGAAATTCTTTGGTTATGCAAACTGATTGTTGCAGCAGCTGTGTCCGAGTGGCTGGTCTCAGACGATCTTGGTGGTGAAGATGCTGGATGTGGAGGTCCTGGGCTGGTGTGGTTACACGTGGTCTGCGGCTGTGAGGTCGGTTGGATGTGCTGCCAAATTCTCTAAAAAGCATTTGGAGACGGCTTATGGTAGAGAAATGAACAGTCAATTCATAGGCAACAGCTCTGGTGAACATTCCTGTAGTCAGCATGCCAATTGCACGCTCCCTCAAAACTGTGCTCTGTGATTAAACTGCACATTTTAGAGTGACCTTTGTTGGGTAAAATTATTAACAAAGTCATACTTTAAGGTTGATTCTAACATTTGATTGAATTAAGAACTTAATTAGTAGGAGATTGACACTATGTTTGTCGATTAGTCAACCTGTGTGTTTACTTTGTTTGTGTATGATTATTTTATCATAGTAAGAAAATGAATAGTTAGGATTTAGTTTAGAGCACACATAAGTTTGCCTACTTATATGTTACAGTTATGTTTATATAAGTTAGTTTATATCATTTTATGTGTTCACTGAATTCCTGGCCAGTATTTACTATGTTAGTCAACTGGAGCACTGTTTAACATCTAAGGGGGGACTGGTTCACTAAAACACTGAATCTCATTAGGTTTACAGCTTTGACAAGGAGGGTCCACAGATACTTTATTATCACCACCTGGCTGAAGAGGCCAGGGAATTTGGGGTCACTGGGACACCAAGGGTAATAAACAGAGATTAGACCTAAAAGCCAGGAAGAGAAAGACAACTTCAAAGGCAGGACCATATACATACACACACAGGTAAGACAGTTTAATTAGCCAAACAGAAAGCCATGCCTTGTATAGTGTAGTTAGTTAGTAACAAAGAAAAAAGTGAGTGTAGGAATTTAGACAGAGTAGAATTTCCTCCCTCTTTAGGAAGCTGACTTTCCCATTGGAGCAGAATGGGATAGATGGACCAATGGAACAGCATGAGAGGATCAGACCAGCCTACAATGGCACATTTGAAATTGTATAAAATCAACTGAGTTGAGGAGGATAGCGTTCGCTCTTGTCCTGAAGACGAGTTGAACGGTTTTGCTGTTGAGGTCAGGGCTTCAGATAGAGATGGAACCCAGAGCTCTGTAAATTGCTTTATTTGAAGGTCCATTCAGTTATGATAATAAATGTTTGAAAGGTGATATTTGACTCTGATTATTCTTCATGAAAGTGAGGATCTCTGAATGATCCAATGTTGACCTAAATGACTAATGATGATAAATAGAATCCACCTGTGTGTAATCAAGTCTCCGTATAAATGCACCTGCACTGTGATAGTCTCAGAGGTCCGTTTAAAGCGCAGAGAGCATCATGAAGAACAAGGAACACACCAGGCAGGTCCGCGATACTGTTGTGGAGAAGTTTAAAGCCGGCTTTGGATCCAAAAAGATTTCCCAAGCTTTAAACATCCCAAGGTGCACTGTGCAAGCGATAATATTGAAATGGAAGGAGTATCAGACCACTGCAAATCTACCAAGACTTGGCCGTCCCTCTAAACTTTCAGCTCATCCAAGGAGAAGACTGATCAGAGATGCAGCCAAGAGGCCCATGATCACTCTGGATGAACTGCAGAGATCTACAGCTGAGGTGGGAGACTCTGTCCATAGGACAACAATCAGTCGTATACTGCACAAATCTGGCCTTTATGGAAGAGTGGCAAAGTTCAAGGGGGCCGAATACTTTCGCAAGGCACTGTAACTAAGGGAAGGCTCAGGGTCACCTGATTCATAGTTAACTAGAAGCTTTATCAAAAAGGAAAGTCTTAAGTCTAGTCTTAAAAGTAGAGAGGGCGTCTGCCTCCCGAACTGAGACTGGGAGCTGGTTCCATAGGAGAGGAGCTTGATAGCTAAAGGCTCTGCCTCCCATTTTACTTCTGTGGACTCTATGAAGTCTTTAAGATACGATGAAGCCTTGTCATTAAGGGCTTTGTATGTTAGTCAGTCAGTAACAGTAGTGAAACAATAATATGAAATTGTCAGATGGTTCAGCATCACCAGGGCATTGGTGATGAGGTGCAAATAGCATATGAGGTATGCATGGACAATATTGCAAATGCAGCAGATATCCTGGCAAAAAAACAAAACAACAGTCAGCAGCAGATTTACATGTAACAGACGGCAAAACAGCAGAGGTAGTTTTTGTTTTGTTTTGTTTTCACAAGAGTCAGCAGCAGATTTACCTGTAATATAACAAAAAGGGGGAATGTATTGAGTTTGTGCAACAGCAGGGGTAGTGTAGAAGGAGCACATGATGGGGGTGGGGCACTGGCTCTCCTCAGTTTGCAGAGAAAGTAGAGGCATGTTTGAGCTTTCCTGGCCAGTGTTGTGGTGTTGTTGGTCCAGGAGAGGTCCTCAAAGATGTGCACCCCCAGGAACTTGGTGTTGCTCACTCTCTCCACTACAGCACCATCAATGATCAGTGGGGGATGCTTTAGAGGTTTTCTTCTGATGTCCACAACAGTCTCTTTAGTCTTCCCCACATTCAGGGAGAGGTTGTTGCTCTTACACCACTGTTCCAGTTGACACACTTCACTCCTGTAGTTGGCCTTATTGTTGGTAATGAGGCCAACTACAGTTATGTCATATGTAGACTTGACAATGTGGTTGGTGCTGTAGGTTGGCAGACAGTCGTGGGTCAGCAGTGTGAAGAGCAATGGGCTGAGCATGCACCAACGTTAGCGCTGACATGAATGGACCTTACTGTATTTACGCTTATCCTTAGTCGGCAGCTTCAAATAGGATTCGATGTCACCTGCTCTGGCCCCAGGAATACATTTGACTATGGCCGCTGGTGACCCTAGCTTCATGTTTCTGACTATGGAGTCTCTAATTACCAGAGTTGTCATCTCTGCGGGTATGTCGCTGAGTGGGGAAAACTGATTTGAAACATGAACAGGCAGGTGATGCACCATGGGCATTCGTTTTGAGCTACGATTCTTGCAACTGTCACCCAGTCACCTGGCTGAGATCCCGGCTGCTCGGAAGCTCTGGGGGGCGGCTAACTTTGGCAGCGCTATGTCTAGGAGGCTTCACACTGGCTACATGGGCATAGCTAGCTGGCCTGTTCTCCATGGTGCGGAGCCGTGCTTCCAAATCTGTGAGTCGCCTCAAATGCTGCTAACATCTGACCTTTAGTACAAGTACCATTATCGCTAAAGGAGGCAGAGGAATAACTGAACATGTGACATTCTGAGCAAGAGAAAGAAGGAGAGAAAGGGGGGGAGCCATTGCTCTCAACTAAGCTACTAGCTTAGCTAGCTTCTAAGCTGGCTGACCTGAAGTAGCAAATTAAATTTGGTAATTAGCAAGAACTTCTGTAGTGTTATCAGTCGTAAAATTCAGATAAACCCAGAAAATAGTGATCTTACTTCCTAAACAATCTGGAAGTGAGCACAACATGCTGCAGGCACAGAAAACAGGAAATGAGTATGGTTACTTCAGGAACAGGAAACAGCAGTCTGTCAAAGGTTCCTCAAGTAAGTTTGTGTCCAGCAATTATGGTAGCTTTTTAAAAAAATTATACCGCAATATTTCTTTAACCTTAACTGAGTTTTTAAATTACCATAATTATATATTTATTATATTAAGTTTGCCATATTAATTTTTAGGCTACTTAAGGGCAATAAAACTAAATTAATACATAACATCTAATGGATCTGATATGCCAAGGCGACTGCCAGCCATAGGCCACCGTCAGGCCATCGGTGAGCATCTATTGGGGCTCATCTTCCTGGTGTGTCCCACATCATTGGCACTATTCAGACCCTGCTGGCAGTTTTTCCAGTGATTCAACATGATGAATAGATGTTGGCCCATTGGGCCTCGTTGGTAAGAGAGACCACTCTGATTGGATGTTTAGCTTAGCGAATCAATGCACAAGAAGAAAACAGTTCAGGGAATACCTCTTCAGGTTTTTGTAGTATCCATGGTTTCACACATTTAGTGTAGTTTCTCCCTCCATGACCTCCTTTCTTTTTCCACAACCAAAAGACCAACAGCAGAGAATGGCAGTGCCATTTCCAATTTTGCATCAGAAATATCCCCAATTATAAGGGGATATTGTATTAGCTACAAATAATCATGTGACGCTTTTCATGAATGGCACCGCCGGTCACAGGTCGGTAATTCATGTAAAATACAGTCTGTTTGATAATAAAATGTGCTTTGGGAGTGTTAGATAGTTGTTCACATTTATAATTTATTATGTTGTGTTAACCGCAGGGCGAGACAAGCTAATACTGATATATTGGAGGAGTGCGTCAGCGTCCCAGGACGGCACACGCACGTCACCAAGGTCGCGCACGTGACAGGTAGGTCATCCCCCACGCAACTAAAAGTGTGTCTGAGTGATACTGACTCAAATCACACACAAACAACACACACACAAACAGCTGTGATCGCTGCATTCATTGTAAATTTGGTGCTGGTCGGTGTGAATTGCACCCTTTGTGGGCTGCTTGGAGAATGGGGGTTAGAGTGTTTGCCTGTCTCTCTCAGCCAGAGAGCTGTGTGAGCCTAGTAGAAGTGAGCAGGAGGGAAAAAATCTTGTAGATGTGGATTTATGAATCCAGACAATTGTACGGGACAAAATGTCCCGCTAACAGAAGTAGTGTATAGTGACCCTAAACAGGTGTTGTGTAATCTAAAAAAAGGTAAAGGGCAAATTTTAACATTGGTGGATCACTGCTAGGTTTTTGCACTGTTTAAGAATAAAACATCTTGGATTATGTGGAGTTACAAATAAAGATGCTGGGGTCTGAGGGACCCCAAACCATAGGGGGCGCAAAGTACATTTAAACAGAGCACAAGGGTTAACAAGAGCTGGATTGTTTATGCTTGTATTTCCTCAGTCTAGGTCATCTTCTTTCCCTTTCTGAATGGCAAATACAGATACTGTCACCTGAAGGTAGGGGGAATCATTTCTGTCACTCAGGTGCAGAATGTACATGCTAGTTGACCATTGGCTGTAGTCTGTGTGGTGTGTTCAAGTGCCACTTTTTCAACCCAATTGGCCCAGACAAAGCGGTCAGTCTCCAGTACTGCTAGTTCTTTCATGTTGGCATGGTGTGTCTGCCCTTTAAAGTTGCCAAATCTATCAAGACAATCACTAAATGTCAGGTCCACTCGGCGCAACCTGCCTCTCTTCCCCTTTCTCTCTCCTGTTATCTCATCCTCCAGGCTCAGCAACACAGCTGAAAGGCATTCACCTGCTAATTCACTCCCGGGTGTAGCGCACAGCTGAAGCTCATCCCCGCTACTTATCCTTCCCTATTTAAAGCACTGGCAGATACTCCTTCGTCGCCAGATCCCTGACAGTTCATAGGGTTATGTAACATATTGACAATCATATGGTGAGGGTGACTATGTTAATGGAGATTCAACATATTGACGGGTGACAATGTCAGCGAGATTAAATTTTTCTTATGTTTGATGCGGGCATACACGTTGGCAATCTTCCCTGCCTTGATTATCTCCGAGGATCTACTCTGTTTGCCTGACGGCGAGTGATGCCATGCTTACCTGACTGTGAGTGCTACCTTGCTCACCAGCCCTGTCCTCTGGTTACTGGTTCCTGCCATGATTACCTCTGGCGATCCTCCTGGTTCCTGATGCTTGCCTGTCTACTTACCTGTCATCCTAGTCCACTGATCCTCCTGGTTACTGTGTCTCTCCTGTCATCTCACCTGCTGCCTGCCACCTTCCTGTCCTCTGGTTCTTGCTGTTCACCTGTCTAGTCACCTGCCCGTCCCGGTCCTCTGATAGGTTGGTAATTCATGTAAAATACAGTCTGTTTGATAATAAAATGTGCTTTGGGACTTTTAGATAGTGGTTCACATTTATAATTTATTATGTTGTGCTTACAGCAGGGCGAGACAAGCTAATACTGATATATTGGAGGAGTGCGTCAGCGTCAGCGTCCCAGGACGGCACACGCACGTCACCGAGGTCGCGCACGTGACACCCCACTGTAACACTAAATTTGCAACATTGCATTCTGATGTTTAGCAGCTGTAGGCTACTATATTTTTTGTGAGCATGCTAGCATTTGCTAATTAGCACTAAGCACAGCACATAGCTCAGCATCATGGGAATGTCATTACTATTACAGGTAGCCTAATTGGTCATAAACAAAACTATGGACAAGTACAAAATTTTAAAAATATTTAACTTTATTGAGAAAGTCTAGAGGTGGAAAGTTTGAAAAATGGATGAGCCGGTGTGTTCGCAGATTGAGCCACACCAGAGACTAAAATTCAGTGCTTCTTTGCCTCGAATTGATAAATTTTTGATTGTTGAACATTTCACGTTATTGTCTACTGGCAGCTGATGAGGAATTCTGTGTCTGTAACATTGTGCTTTTTTCCATTGTTAAGCATACTGGCTGTATTAACTACATGACCATTCAAATGTGCTGTACCAGTAGGGCCTACTAAAGCTCAACTGCCAAACATACAGGATCTGTATTGCAGATTAGGACTGCTGGCATTGCTTCTCCATTTACTGCAATTCACATCCCCAGAGATGCCCCAGTACTCATTAAATTTAATTTTCACAAAACGAGGGCACATACAAGTGGTACATCTCTACCCACTGAAAAGTGAGTGTCATTCCTGAGGACTTTATAAAGTTAACATTAGTGCCAGAGTGTGCAGCAGCTCATAGTGAATTTATTTTCATTTTGTAACTCTTGTAATCTGCATTTTCTTCAGTCACACTGTGAAAAGCATTTTCCATTTCCTGCTGTAATAATGTGGAAGCTCTTTAAGGAGACCCCAAGGTGAGCATGGGAAAGCCTACCTATCATAGCCCAGCCATTATCTTCACACCCATTCATGAGCCATCAGACCCCAGTAAAAATAATTGCTGCACTTCACAGTTCATTGGAGGGAGACAAGCTTTTGTGTCAATTAAAAACTCAGCTGACGACCCAAAGCACTGTCGTATACACTGGAAGGCAGCCCACACATGTATAGACAGAGGTATATACTAAATATTAGTAGGGATGTAATGATACCAACAAGTCATGGTACAATATTGCCACAATAAAAAGTCCACAATACAATATTTATCATGATATTTAAAAAATGAAAAAAAAACCCTTTACTAAATAATAAATATGCATTTTTTTTATTTTATTTTTAACTTAAAGTGCTCACACATTCCATCTTTATTGAAGTTAGGGTAAAGTATAAATAAATAAGTTCTAAGTTTGTCACATCACAGGAAGATGTTATTAACCACCCAGACAAATTTGAACGATTAAAAAGATTGCCAAGTATATAAAATTAGCTTTCAAAATCATGGCAAAATATGGAATATTCTCTGCTCTGAACTGCTGTGTGCATGTCGGGTCAAGACAATAAAACCATGTCAAATCATGAAAATGTACTGCCTGTTCTCATCATGGACTTTTGAGTGATAGGAGTGTGTTCGCTAAAGTTGACTGTTGGCAATAAATATGCTGGAGTGCATAGGTTTTAGATGTAAATTGGAACCTGGAGTGTCTTTACACTTGTAAGACCCAGTTCTTGATACCATGCTAACTCTAAGAGACGAGGCAGTCCAAGTAACTACAAAACAGTGCTGATCTATTCCATGAACACAGGTAAAAATTAACATTACACGCTCAGGTATCTTCCACCTCCAACATGCACGCAGGCAGCTGAAAGATGAAAGACCCTGAACTACAACAGGCCTATACATTTATCTCTTCGGTTGGGCTAGCCCTATACTACACAGGAACGTCAACCATGACGTGTCCCTGGTGCCAGCTTTGCAGCTGACCATAGCAGTAGTCAAAACATGAAGCAAATCAATGTGTGTGTGTCTGTTGATTGTGGTGTGTATCTAAAAACATTCTGAAATGACATCTAGTGACATGTCATGACATTAAACATAAGAAAATATTATGATTACGATTACAGTTATACACATCATAATAATAATAATAATTATCCTGTCTGCTGACAGTCAAACTTTCTATCTAGTTATCCTTGACCATAAGCATCCTGCAAAAACTCATGAGCATGACTAAGCATTTAACAGCCTAAACTAGACATCCTGACTCCACTAAACATTTCTAATACAAGTACCTGACCAATGTCTATCTGACTGAAAATACCTAACACACTGTTTATATAATTAGTATTTAGTATTATTATTAGTAGTAGTATTTAGTATTTAGCTAACACTGAGATTGTGGGAGACACATACCATTGTTAACAGCTCATTAGCTATGGTTTATGGCCTGAGTGCTGCAGTTAGCCAGCTGCCAATAACACAAGCTCCCCGTATTCTGTTAACATAATTAGATAAACTTAAAATATGAAGAGGTATTGACATGCTATCAAATGTTATGGCATGGTATGAGACCTGGAACTAGTCACCAGTGTTTAACAACTAGCATTAACCTAGGCTGCATTTGGCTCACTGCTAAAGCCAGTTAACATTGTGCTAACAGTTAACTTAACCTTGAGAAGAAAAAAAAAGAGAGAGATACTGACATACTGAGACAGTTTGAAACACTTAACACTGCTGGAGTATTATCAGCAAAACTACAGATATATGACAGGGAAGGCTAGGTTTGGCTCACTGTTGAACTGAGTGCTGACAGCCTGCGTCTGTGTTAACATTAGATTAACACTACATTTTGGATCAGCTGAGATAGTAAAGAGATACTAAAATATTGTTTAATGTTTTGAGATGGTATGAGAGTAGTAGTAGTTGTGTAGAGAAGTAACATTGTGGGAATGTAATATTAACAGTTAAATTTGGCTGCTGATAATACAACAAGGCAAGCTCTCGGTTTTCTGGTAAATTTGCTAGATTACGTTTCAGATCATGTGAGAAAGTAAAACGAACCTGATATACTAACAAATGTTATGGGATGTGTCAGGTTTGCCCGGTTGCACCTCCTTTCTCACTCCCCTCACTCTGTTTTCTCTCCCTTTACCTGATTACGCTATCCTCTACACCTGCTTGTCACCAGCTGCACCTGATTAGTTTCTCCCTATTTAGTCCCTGCTCTTCGTTCACTCCCTTGCCAGTTCTTTCTAGCTTTTCTCA